AAGACAAAAAAAAAAAAAAAAAAGATTCAGTGACATTAATTAACACTCTTGCCCATGGTCACATACTCTGCTAAGTGGAAGAGCCAAAATTGTACCCCAGATCTGTGTGATTCTATATTTTTCCCACTCTATTGTTTTGTGTCCAGTTTTGGACCTACAGAGAAAGATATCCAGTTGGCATTCAAAACTATAGCCCTGAAGCTCTGACTAAAGCTGGGATTAGAAATAAAAGTTCAGAAATAATCAGCACACCAGAGTAGTTGAAGCCATGCTTGAGGAAGCATCGCTTAAAAAATATGGTAAGGCCTAAGTCCGGGCCTCAAATGGAATCCCAGGGCACATTAACATTCAAGGGTTAGAAAAAGAAGGAGTAGAAAAGGAGATTCAAAAAGAGTTAGTAGCCAGAGAGCTAGAAGGAAAACTGGTGTATCCAGTTCACTTGATTGCAGGTCCAATGAGGGCAAGTACCAAGTCCATCTTGTTCATGTATCTCCAGTGTCTAACATGGATGGTGATAATGAATGCTCAATAAATATCTGTTGAGTGGATATTTGGTTGGCATTGAAGCTGAAGGAGAAGAATGCTTCCAGGAGACTATTCAAGAATAGTAAATGCTTCTGAAAGGACATTGAAAGATAAGGTTTAAAAAGTAACTGCTTTTTTAGACAACAAGAAAGTAGACAGTGACCCAACAGAAAGAACAGTAAGTGGAGTAGTGAGTAAAAGTCAGACTGGGTTGAGTAGTGAATGGGAAGTGAGGAAAAAGAGAGCAAGTATAGACTATTCTTTTAAGAAGTTTGATGCAGGGGAATAAAAGAAAGAAATCAGTAGCTAGAGGACTAGTACAATTACGCAAATTTTTGTATTTTTAGATGAGGGACATTTCAGTCTATTTGTGAATACAGATATCACTGGAAGCATTTGATTAATACCCTAGCTTACAAGAAGCTGTAAATTTATTTGTAATATTTTGAAAAAATACTATATATGCATGAGATAATTTTTCTAGGGAGGGAAGAATTTATTAGACTTTTGAAAAAGAGTTTCCAAATATTTAGACCTATTTACACAGGCAATTTACACTAACCTAGAAGAGAATAACAATAAAATAAAAATCCTCTCAAGAAAATAGAAATGACTATTTTGAAGCATTGCTAAAAAAAGAAAGAAACTTATTTTGGTAGTGCAATTATCTTGAAAAATAATCTGTTTCATTGCCAGCATAGAGGCCTCATCTAAGAAGAAAAGATATCTGGAATCAGATATTTGAGAATTCTATTTTATTTACTCTAGAAAAAAAAATTTTACATTTCATTATTTCCACAAATATTTTGTTTTACTTTAGGTTTTGTTTATTAATGTGGTTTTAAAAAATGTACATGTAACATACAAAATTGGGTTACTATTTGGTTTTTATAAATTATTATTATTAGTTTTTACAGGCAACACCTCATTCTATAAAATAGAGTGTTCCCCTGGTTTTTACAAATTATTGTTTAGATACTTAGATTAGGCCTGGGTAAAAGATAAGAAAGTGAACATTATTAAACCAAAAGGTAAGCTATTAACTAAAACAGAAATTACCAGGCATTGTAGATTTCCAGCAAGTTGGAACTAATGGGGAAAAAATGTAATGAGCAAGTTAAAACATGCTTTCTAATCATGGACACTAGATGGCATAAATATTTTGCAGGACTTAAACTGGATGACCTAAGCACTCAAAGTTTTAAGGAAAATCTTCAAAGAAATTAAATTTCTTGCCTCTAGGAAGAAATGGAATTTTTTGTGTGTGCTATTTGGGACTGTGAGATGATGTGTGTGTGTGTTGTTTATATTTTTGCTTTGTTCAGCATAAATGTTTTGTGCTTGTACATTTTCCAAAGATATTTTAAGCCATTCTGAGTCAGCAGCACCTTGCACGTGGCTAAATGGCTAATGCCAAGCTCATTCAGGCGAAATGGGGAGAGGAATAAGCAGTAGAGACCCTATGGGATCAAGAACTACAATTACTTAGACAGTTACACATTTGCTGGGAGCAAGAGTTATGCACTCCTTCCCTGGACTGTCTTCCATGATGAATAGGCAGCACCACTGAGAGGAAAACTGAAGAGGAAAGCAATTATAACCTTCAGCAGGGTTTTCATCTAAATTAAAATCCAAAAAAACCAAGCTTCCTCAGGAGCCTGCCTAAGAGACACACCGTAACAAGAGTTTACCTTTCTTTCTTGTTTCTTCTGTGCTTCCAGGACATGCAGGCGCTCCATGAGGCTAGAGATGCCCTGCTCCAAGCTGTCAATGGTGTGGTGCTGAGGATCATGGCCACTGAAGCTGTTGCGCAGGCTGCGGAGAGCATCTCGAACAAGCTGCAGGTCACTAGTCTGTGGGTAAAAATAAGGTGCTGTTGGCATGGTGAAGTGCCATATTATTAACCATGTCCCAACTGCTGACCTTGAGAAGATAAAGGAGAGAGGATTCCAGAATAGATCTTTCATTTTTGTGGAGCTGTGAACTGTAGGAAATTCTCCTCTGCAGAAGCAGGGCTACTGTATGCCCACTCATTCTTAATTTTTGATAGCAAGTGCTTCATACCTTTACACACACAACAGATGCAAAAATTAGGGACCTAGAATATAAAAGGCCTAGTCTACTGGCAATGGCTGAGCCACTCTTCTGATTTCAGCTAGAAGTGTCAGGGCTATATTCAAATCCTAGGAACCTACCCCTCTGTGGGTGATTGAAGAAGCTCCTTTTCCTGCCGTTGGAAGGAGAAAACCATTGCTTTGAGAGTTGTGACTGTTGTAATTGGTCACCTATATCAGGAAGAAAAGATGCTTGTTAAAGGGAGAAATCTAAACCAAGACGTCCCGTCTTACTTTTCTTCTCTACATTTATCACTTCCTATCATAGTATATGTCATAGTATATAATTATTTGTTTAATGGCTCTCTGTATTAAAATGTAAGCTTTATAAGTGTTTATTTTTTCCCTTTTGTCCACTGCTGTATCCCTAGCACTTGATACTTAATAGGCATTGCTGAATGTAGAATGAACTTTGTTTCCATAATAAAAAAAGAGCAACTAATAATTTTTGAGCCTGACTGTGCCAGGTGGATGTAACTGGACTGTATTTAGTTATTAATGTGATTTATGTATTCTTCATAATGACAACAAAGGCCACTATTATTTCCATTTTCCAGATGAGCCTTATTTCTAAAGCTCAGAAGCTAAGCTACTTAAGGTCACAAAGTGTAAAAGCAGTAAAGCTGGAATCTGAAACCGTATTTTCTTATCCTAGAACCTGTACTCTTAACCCCCTCACCATACAGCCTCCTAACAAACCAGCCTGTGCTACTGGTTCAGTTCTGGGTCAAAAACAGAATCTCTCTCTTTGCCTCACAAATGTGGGAGGGAGAACCCAAGTTCTAGGTTACCTCATCTGCCTCTCTGTTCATACAGTGAGCCAAAAGGACATCTTTGTGTTCTAGTTCCCATTCCACATCCACCTGCAAAAAAGAGACTAAATCAGAAAAGGATTTCTTCAGGCCAAAGGGGCAGGGAATTCAGTGGCTGAATATGTTCTGACCTGCTGGTAACTGGCATCAGAGAGTTTCCGGAGTGCCTCTTCCAACCTGGCCTGGTGCTGCTGAAGAAGGCGATCCTTCTGCCCAAGCTCCTTCTGCAACAGAGACAGCTTTCAGATGTATGACAAAACCAAGGACATTGGAAAGTTCACTCTCTCCTATGCAGTTTCCACCCGAGTAAAGTAGAACCTCAGGGGAACAGTCCCTTCCTCAAGCTATACCAGGAAGACTTTACACACTACAATGGTCTTACACAGTGTATAGTGGATTGAATTATGTCCCCCCCAAACTCACTGAAGCTTGAATTGTATCCTCCACGTTTTATGTATAGAAACTTAGCCCCAACTGGGACTGTTAAGAGGGTGGGAAATCATATTATGGTAATTGAAAGGTGGAGCCTTGAAGAGTTGATTGCATTGTAGGAACGTACAGTGAATGGATTAAAAATTGTGGTCGGGGCGTGGTTCTGAGGGCTTTAAAAGAAGAGAGAGGAGAGTCTATCTATCAAAGTTCAGTGAACTTTGTTATAAGCAACAAAAACAGACAAATACAGAAATTGGTAACAGGAGTGGGGTGTTGCTATGCAAATACTTAGAAATGTGGAAGTGGCTTTGGAACTGGGTGTTAGGCAAAGGTTGGAGGAGTTTGGAGGACTCAGAAGAAGATAAAGAGACAAGGGAAAGTTTGGAATGTCTTAGAGACTGGTTACATGGTGGCAAGCAGAATGCTGATAGAAATACAGACTGTAAAGACCATTCTAAGGAGGTCTCAGATAGAAGTAAGGAGTTTACTGGAAACTGCAGCAAAGATCACCCTTGCTGTGAACTGGCAAGGAACTTGGCTCCATTGTGTCCACACCCTAGGACTTTGTAGAAGTTGGAACTTAGGAGTTGTGAACCAGAGTACTTGGCAGAAGTGAGAGCAGGACTGCCATGGAGACCCCGGAATTGTGGAACTCCATCCTGGGAGAGCTGAAGTGTGGCCAGAGACCAGGAAAGCTATAGGAGTGGAGCTGCCCAAGTACTTGGGGAACCAACCCCCACACCAGCATGCAGAGGACATAGAACATGGAGTGAAGGTACCTGATTCACCAACCTTGAGATTTAATGCCTGCCCTGCTGGGTTTTGGACTTGTTTGGGACCTGTTATACCTTTCTTTTGGCCTGTTTCTCCCTTTTGGAATGGGAGTATGTACCCTATGTTTGTTCCACCATTGTATATTGAAAGTAGATAACTTGTATAGATTTCACAGATGGGACTTTGAACTTTTGGACTTTTGAGTTGAAACAGGTTAAGACTTTGGGGATAAAATGAATGTATTTGTATATGAAAAGGACAAGAGTTTTGGGGGGCCAGGGGTGGAATGTAGTGGGTTGAATTATGTCCCCTCAAAACTCATTGAAGCTTGAGGGCCGGCCCGGTGGCACACTGGAGAGTGCGCCGCTTGGGAGTGCGGCAGCGCTCCCGCCGAGGGTT